CCACCCAGCCACAGGAAGCTGGCCATGCTCTTCCTCCTCCCAGCCCTGCAAAACAAGACACACCACTCAGCACACACCACTCCACCTCGGTGGAGGCTGTGACCAACCCACCTTCCAACTTCTCTCCTCAGGTTTTAACAGTGTTAATGTGTCAGTCAGCAGATTATGGAATAAACAAACCCAGAAAGTTAATAATTAACTGTCATGAAGTCTGAGGAAGCAGAGTGTCGTTTTCCATTCAACAGGCAGGACGAGCACACACTGAGGTGTGAGCACGTAGATGGTGTCAGGCTTCCTGATGTGTGTCTCACCAGTGCTTGTTAATGAAGTATATGCAGAGAGGGTAGGCGGGCAGCTCCACCAGGCCGTACATGGCCATGTTAACATAACGGTTACCGGACATGGCGCCGGCCCCCAGAGTCAGACCGTAGTACACCAGGCTGCACGCATACCTGCAACACACACAAGCACACACACACACACAGGTGTTTGATGGTGACCCAGCACTCTCAGCAGCTCATGGAAATCTCTCTTCAATTCCTGTTTACACATCCCGCACCACCTGCAGAGGAGCTTGTTTACTGTCAACTCAGGAAGCAGAAACGCTACAACTTCTCAAAGTGTGAAATTCTATTACTTTATTTTAAATCACACACTGAAAATACTCTGGGTGAACTCCAAGCAGTATTTACACCACCTGAGGGTTACCACAGCGCACTGACAACAAACCACAGAGTCCCATGTTTATACAGCACAGTAAAACGGTTCATCTGTTCACGTCAACTTCCCTTTTTAGTATTTATCAGAGACAAGCTAAAGGATGCAGCCTGCTGAGTCTCAGGCTTTTGGTTGCCACTGCTCTCTGCTCCTGAAACAAGGAAAACATTCAACATTTCCATCACCACAAGCTGCAGCACAGTGCTGGGGAGGGGGGGTGTCGGGTGTGGTTACAGAGCGACTCACGGTGAACCTTTGAAAGTGTCAAACTGAACTCAAATTAATAGTCATAATATAACATTAAAAAGGACTGGACGCTGTTCGTGGGACTCGGACTCATGCTATATAAATATAACGTTTTAAAATTCATCCCACGGGCCGGACGTTGCCGACCCCTGCAGTAGGAGGTTGAGACATTACACTTGACTACAGTTAAACTTTCTACAGACGATTCTGCTGCTTCTCTGGGCATCAGAACGTACCTCAGAAATACTTTAGAGCAGCAGATGAATCTTAAATAGCTCAAGCAGAAACAGAAGCTGTGGTGGGCTAACAGTTTCAGACGGAGGCGGAGAAGCAGCAGCAACTTTATTTGGGTCTGGCAGTGAAGACAGCATTGACACAAATCATAGGGGTGTCCATATTGGTAGCAGCACTACTGTAATGGTTTTGGAATGTCTGTGGCGGCAGCAGGACCTGAACCAGCAACCCTGTGTGCATCAGTCTGTTCCTGCAGCAGCTTGCATGCTTTGTTCCTCTTCTGTGACGGGGTACTTACCAAACGAACATGAGCACCATGGTCCTCAGACGGAGGACTGGATGGATCACCAGCTGCAGGACACCCATACCCCTGTCGTCATGGTTACCGGCTTTAGTGACCCCAACTGGCCGCAACATCAGCTTGTTAGCAGCGTTGCCGTTCCTAAGTGCCATGTGGCGCAGAACCTCCAATCAGAACACAGCAGAACAACATGGCTCCGTTACTGAGGAAGATGAGTCACTGACCACTGAGACAGTTCCTAGTGAACTCATTCTACTTCTGGCACAAGCTGGTTGGGAGTTTGTGGTCCCACCCAATTCCTTTTTACAATGATATCACAACATGTTGTGCAGTTCAAGAATTTAAGGAAGCTGCTGTGGACTCAGTGTGTCCTAACCCCGTGGTCGTCTTAGTCAAACCTTTAGCTTCTCATTCTTCTCCTGAACCTGTGGCACTGAGATCAAGTCAGAAAAGACAAAGAAGAAAGACAAAAGGACTTTTACTCCTCTGCTCAAACTCACCCTGGTGAAGGAGAAAGTGGAGATAAAAAAAGCAACCTTCTGATCACAAGACCCCCCCCTCCAACCTTATATACTAGCACACAGTTCAGAGGCCAACACACAAGGCCCATTTGTCACTTGTGGCTTAGAGAAGCAAGCTGGAGGATTTTATATGAATGGGGGGGTTTCCTGTACTTGATTTTCTTTCTTACTTTTGCTGACAGAAGCCTACAAAGCTCTTCTCTGTGATGGTCACAACTCAGTGCGACACCCCACCTGATAACGAGGAGCTTTGTTTTCCATCTGTAGCTTTAAAGTCATATAGAAAACCAAGCTCCTCAGCTCTGTATCCACTGACCGCGGCTCACTGGTTTCACTTTGGAGCTGACAATCTAGGCTTCGTAGTCTGGCTGCTGACGTGATGCATGTACGGCTGTGCCTCAGTTTAGCTCTGCTCTGTCACTGTGCACATATTTTAAACTGTGTATGTAGATGAGCATCAGCTCTAAGCTGACTCTGGTGCAGGGCTGACACAGTATTACTGTCAACAGTGGCACCTCACAGTGGTGTGTGTGTGTGTGTGTGTGTGTGTGTGTGTGTGTGTGTGTGTGTGTGTGTGTGTGTGTGGAGAACTCTCTCCACCTTAACAGCTCAAAACCCCAATACACCAGTCCACCCCCTCAGTCTCACATCAAGAAGTCCTTCAGATACTTTGGAATTACACTGGACAATAACCTCAGCCTCAGTCAGACTTACAACCCTCTGGAAACTAAAGCATTTCTATGTCCCAGCACATCTTTTCCTCCTACACTGAGCCAGCTCTTCTTTATGATACCATATGCTTACAGTCACCAATAGCAACCAACTCTTAAAGGTAACCTAGTCAACTTGTTGGTATTCCTGTTCCCAGCTTATCCAGCTGTGTCACCTCTTCCCTGATCTTTAAAGCACTCACATGTACACGACCTGGACTACCTGCTTTAGCAGCACCTCACCCCTCTTCCCTCCAGCCACAGGTATAGACTACCTATGTGTATAAAGGTCTGTTTTAGTAAGAGCTTGGTCCCCACAGGCTTCGGCAACCACAGCGCACACACCCTGCATGTAGTGTGTGTAACTATGTGTTTATTAACCACTGTGCCACAACCACAGTGACAGCAACAGTCCAAACCATAGACCAGAGGGGTACAACTCAGCCTTTCTCTGTGGTTCACAGGAAATTCAAGATGAATTGTGAGAAAACGCAAAAGTATTTGAGAAAAAAAAATGCTTACCATGACATTGGCGAGGCTCTGTGATAGGTAATAATTATATTAACACTGTATAGGATAAAATATGTGACAACTACAGACAAATAAGCAGCTCTGGAGGCTTAAACTGATGAGAAACCTCAGCTCTGCAGACGCTCACATACCCAGACACAGCATCGGTAGCCACTCACCTCTTCAGCTCGCCACGTCTGACCCTGGGAATACAGCCAGCGAGGAGACTCTGGAAGAGAGCTGGAGGACACAAGCGCAAGGGACAGATCACTGGATGGGCCAAAACATTTGTGACTTGGTACCAAGTTTGAAAACAAGGGGACTGAACTATATTCAAGGACCAGACTTTAACATACTTATAACAGGAGGTGTTTGATTGAAGGGAGCGAGTCAGAGGAAGTGTTGCATTGTGGGTTGTGTTTCTCACCATTAAGTCATATTTTAAAAACATGTTACAGGCTTTTATTTGGGCCAATGATCATAAACAGCACAACTACGTTACTCCTAAGATTTTAACTTCTGGTTGTGAAAATGCAGCAGACATGGACAGAACCTCACCAGTGTGTTTACCATTTAAAGGTTTTTTACAATGTCTAACTTATTCAACTGTTGGTCTCCTTTCATTTCTGTGTCGTATGAAAATGAATTAGACTTGTATCACGTGCTCCATCCCAGGACATGCTTTCATTTTCATCAGTGTTACTGTTCATTGCTGATTTGCAGTAATTCAGTGTGTCTGCAGACTTTGGTCCAACATCTACATCATAATGTTAACTAAAACATTCACTGCAGTATATTATTTACCTGAAGTACACTTTCAGAGTGTGCTAATACAATTTACATCATACATGAACTGACTACAATGGATGTCTAGAAAGGCACAGAAAATACTTTTAAAATACCTTCAAACACATTAGGATGATTAGCTGTGATATGTAACACATGGCTTGTAGAAAAGATGCTAAAAGAAGCTGAACTCTGATGTGTTCCTTTCACTTCTGCTCTGATTTGACAGCATTTTATTTATATTCCTTGAATTTCTGTGCTGCACTGAAACTGGAGCTGATCAAATAAAAGAGTTTACAATATTTTAACCATTTGTTGTAGGTCTGAAGAACATCCCCTGAGAAAACCACCAGTATATTTTATTTGGATGCAGGTTTGTACTCACACAGAGAGCAGGAAGATCAGGACCCCAGACGAATTGGCTGCTGTGGCCAGGCTCCTCCACGGCCGGATGACGTAGCCCAGAGCGCCGAACAGAGCGATACCGACCGCAAAAGTCATACTTGTCAATGTCCCTGAAAAAAAATCCACACCAATAATCAACTCATAACTTCAGCAATAATTTGACAACAGGTAAAAAACCAAGACACCGTGTAAAGTGAAATGATTGCTTTGGTGTTCTCCTACCGGTCATGGCCCAGTAGGACTTGCCCACGTACTCCTGAGTGAGGACGAAGCAGACCAGGCCGATGCCACCGTTCATCAGCCCGACCAGGAGGCGAGACAGCGCGAAGACCTCATAGCTTGGCGCAAAGGCCGTCACATAACCAAAGACCACCTCGAAAAACAGACCTGGGGACAGAGGAGAGATTTGACCTTTAGCTTGTAGCTAAAATAGACAAAGAACCACAGGATAAATCTGTCATCTGTGGTTCTCCTCACCTATCAAATAGACGGGTCTCCTGCCGATCTTGTCAGAGAGAGGCCCAAAGATGACGTTCCCCACCAGAAGCCCAGCAAAGAACAGCGACCCAGCTAGACTGACTTTATAGGCCTGCTGCTTGATGAGAAACCACTGAGGAAAAGACAGAAACCACTTAGAGCCTTTCTAGGCTTTATCTGTGCACTTAAGGTGATTCAAATGAGCACACAAGCTGAATCACAGGCCACAGCTGGGGAAAAGTGAGAGTGCATATAAATCCTGGCTCCCTCACCTCAGTCACAATGGAGTCGATGTCCTCTGTAAAGGTGACTTGTTGGGGGAGCTCCTGCTGGCTGAGTGGGGCGCCTTCCTGCTGCTCTATCCGGAACTGTGGGGTGGATCCAACCAGAACAATCAGCATGGACTGACAGGCCATGTACACCTGAAACACACAGAACACAGCACCACCAACCTGCTGAGTAACTGCTAGAAGTAAAACCAATGACATGACCATCAGCACCACTGGAAGGCATGGTCTGAAACTGTACAGGGTCCAGAAAAGAATCCATTTGTTTTTCAAACCTGGCAACCATACTCTTCAGCTAGAACTCTGTGCTCATAATCAGTGGTGGAAGAAGTACTCAGAGCCTTTATTTAAGTAGAAATACTAATGGTATGGTAACAAGTAAAGGTAATAAAGAAATATAGGAAAGCCCTCATCATGTAAATAATAAATGGAAACTTTTACCTACCTTGGTGAGGTCTACTAGCTAAGTTAGCTAGCCACACGGAGGACTAGCTTATCCATACAGGACACAAACTTCGTTTAAAATGTGGACATTTGTTGCCAAATCTGAAAATTGAGACATTAAATGCCAAGTGGGAAATGAGTACCTTAAAACATTTCGGATGCGTGGGCTGTTCTAAACAATTCGGCGTACGTTTTAAAAGTCTATGGGCGCCTTGCTTTTTAAGAAACGTAAATAAATTCAACACTTGTACGTGTCTGTTGTAGGTAACGTCACACGGCGGTGGATGCCATGTCAGCAAGTGATGAGGGGTTACAAGCATCGACATGATTAACTTATGTTAAACGAGCTTTGTATTGCTTGCCGAATTAAAGACTAGCCCCTTTTGGTGTGTACAAAGTATTCCGTTATGGGCTGCCTTATTTTATTTGTAAGCGTGTCCATAAACAAGGCAATACTAGTTTCCCATTAGTGTAAACTGTGTTCCGTAAAATGCATTTGATGCTCCAGCTAAATTATAAGCAAGCTTTGGCAGCTCAAACGACGCAGGGTGTGTGTTAGAAATTAGTTTATTAATGTTATTTTGAGGGTCCCCAGTTCAAGCCCTCCGTCGGAGCGTTAAAGCCACGTAGCGCTGTAGCTGCAACGGATCTAAGTGTAGCATCATTGCAGGAACTCGTCCCGGATGTAAACTCATATAAAACATTTACTAACCTGTGTCAGAAGGAGAACAGCCACTGTCCGCTTCTGATAGGGTCCAAACTCGCCGACAACTTGGAACGCTTCTTCTAAATCCATGCCAGGAAGAGCTGCCAGTCAGAACCGAGGTCTGCATTTGGACCCGTCTCCCTGTTGGCGTCACCACCAAAGAGGAAGAAACTTGAGAGCAAGAGGATAACCCGTGCTCATTTCCGGCTTCGCTCCCGCGTCCATTTCATGTATGGTTTCGTGCTAATAATGACAAGTCTAGTGTGTATTAGTGTGTGTACAATTTATTTATGCTGCAATTTTACTTACATGCCAATCAAAAATGTTTTGAGCTAGAAAAAAAAACAATAATTTAAAAAAATAGTAGCATTGATAACATTAAGCTACTTCTGTCTGCCCAAGGGAACCACTGTAGATGTAGATGGCACTGGATGATTAGGCATGTTACAATTTTTACCTGATGCTAAAGTAGCATAGAAACACAAGATGCAATGGCCTGCTTAGTAAAACAAACAACAAAGTCCACAGATATGATATACATTTTAGATTTACTGACTTACACCTTCAGAGAATTTCGTTATCTCAGATGTCCACAGCAAATAGCAAAACAGCAAGTGCTGGTAGCACATTCGGTGTACTGATGAAATGTAAACAGATATAGGCTATTTTACTTACATGCCAATCAAAAATGTATTGAGCTAGAAAAAAACAATAATTTAAAAAAATGGTAGCATTGATAACATTAAGCTACTTCTATCTGCCCAAGGGAGAAAATGAATAAAGGATAAAATACCTTCGAAGCAAACACAAAAATTCATGACAGAAAGCAGTGCATTACAAAGATGATAGTCCAATAACATTAACATGATCCTGATTTTAAGACTGAACAGTGACACACTCCTGTCCTGTCATACAAACGTGTGTTTATACAAAGCACATTCCATTAGTAGGAATCTGCAATAATTGAAAAGGGATAAAACACTGACAGCAGGTCATTCACGAATTAGGATATTTGATTTATAAGAGCTTTTATCAGCACTGAGTCGTTCTCATACAGTGCACTTTGCACATTTCTGAGCAGTTCATCCTGCTTTTCCCAAGAATCATTGGTGAGTCATAACAACACAGTCTCATCCATCAACAGAATTAAAACCTAAACAGTGTTTTTGAGAGGGGCTGGATACTAATTTGGTATTTCACACATCGAGTTTACTGCCCATTTTGTATGGAACTGTCATAATCCTACAGTGGTGGAAGGTACAGTAGCTGAGTACATGTTGTCTAGTACAGTACTTCAGTACAAATGTGATGCTATTTGTACTCCACAAGAATTGAGGCAAATATTGTAGTTTTTGCTTTGCTAGTTATCAGATAATGTGCTACTTCAGATTCATAACAAATAAAATTGTGATATTATTATTTTAATAAGGCTTCGTTGGGGTGAATTCACACGGTTAAAACTAGTCCCACCATCTATTTACATTAGTCTGAACCCGTTGACCTTTGGTACTGTAAATGTACCTTGACACAGATACTTTTGTAATATCAGTAAAGCTTTAAATGTAGGACTTGTACCAGATTACAGGTGTGATCATGATACCTGTGTAAAACATCAGAGTACTTCTTCCACCACTGTAATACTATGAACTGAAATGGGGCAGTTGCTCTTCACCCCATGTTTATGAAGGTTGAATATTCTTTCTATGCAAGTAACAGTCAACACACAGGAACACATGGAAAGGTCACGTTTTCTGAATGTGTACGGAGCAACAGCCATCTGAGCACGATGGAAGTAGAGTCCTGATCTGATCCATTTCCATGCACCAACAGCTCCACTACTGTGTTACTTTACCATCTTTGTCTGACTTCTCCTTGAGTCCTTTAGTCTCGTGTGAGTTTCCATCTTCCATCTCGTGTGACGTAGATGCAACACCGTTGTTACCGTTGTTATGTGGACAGACCAGGTCCTTGATGGATTCTCGCTGCCAATAGCCAAGTCCAGCCAAGATTATTAAGGCGAAGAAGCCAAGTCCAAGTCCCACACCCAACCCTACTGAGTGGTCGGATGGCTTTTTGAACAAAGGGTTCTCCACGGGGTCACTTTCTTTCTCACCAACCGGGTTCTTCATCCTGCAGGAGACCGTTTTATTATTTTGTATCTCCTCGATCTTATTGATGGTAATGTCCTTCTCCCTCTGCTTCCACTCTCCGTGTTCAAACTTCCAGTAGTAGATGACGGGTCCAGTCTCTGTGGTGTCTCCATCACAGGACAGTACACAGCTCTCCAAGGCAGGGCTACATGCTACCAACACCGTCGGCTTGGACACCTCCTTGACCACTCTGGCTGCATAACTCTCGTTCTGAACCTTGTTAATCTCCACTGTAAACAACCCTGCGTCATCTTTACTCATTTTTCGAATTTCCAAACGTCCAGTGGTTGTGTTCAGAGTTGTACGGCCTTTAAACACCCCCCAGTACGTCAACGGAGAGTCCTTATCCACCCACTCAGCCACCAGATCACCGTTGTGTCTCCACACGATGCCGGTTATGGCGGTGTGCTCCGGCTGAGGCCTCAGTTCCAGGCTGCCGCCAACCTTGAAGTATACTGGTATATCCAGGGTTAGAGCAGAGCTCAGTACCACCGACAGCAGCACTATCACGGACCAAAGATAAACCAGTTTCTTCTCCATTTCCACAAATACGCAGAGAAATTACAATAAAAGAACTTCTAGCTCACAACAGGCCTAGACCTGGGGCCTATTTCAAGAAGGCGGTTTTGTCGAAACTCAGAGTTTGTTAACCTCGAAATGAGGGCAACTCGGAGTTTTCGGTTTCAGAAACGGAGGTAACTTAAACCTGTGAAGCGGGGTAAGTTAAACCCGTTTCACAAAGAGAGGTAATCTAAACTCAGAGTCAGTTACTACGGCAACTTACTCTGTGAACCTAACCTGCTGGCGAGCAGGTTTTGTTCGGGAAACTCAGAGTTTCCTCCGGGTCTCCGCCCCTTTTTAAAGTGAAAGGTGTTTAATACCTCATTTAATCTTTCAGTACATTCATAGATTGCACACATTTCCGTCATGCAGAGACCAAAATGGCGTGTCCATTCATAGAGGATCCTGTAGATGAGGACGCTGTATTAATTCGCAGGGAATTGCATTTACATCGGGAGAGGAT